TTGTTATGATTCTAAATGTATATAAATGATGTATTTAACCAGCAATACCTGTTCAAGCAAAATGAAATTTCGAAAGGAAATGCAATTTTTGGGTTTACCTTATGTTTGGTTTCTTTGTAACTTGTGGAATTCAAATTTTTTTTATGCAATAATTGAACTTTAAATATATATTTATTTAATTTTTATTCATCAAATTGGAGTCATATAAAATTCAAACCGATCATAAATAAGCATATTCAAATTTAATTAGGCTTTTAATTGTATGTAATTGAAATAAATTTTAGTGCATAGTTGTAATACTACATGATTTTGAAATTGTTTTTATTTATTTTTATTAAATTTAAATGTTATAGGCAATATCAGAAAATAATTGTAATTTTAATTATATATTGAGCTTAGCAAATCCAATTCACGTCAGAGCTCTCTTCGTGCTATTAATTGAAATGAAAATTCTGGAAAATCATTACCTATGCTTTTGCATCCCTTGGAGGAGGAGTTTGTTTTGAGTCGCTGCTTTCTCCGCGAGTTAAGGGTTGAGCTCTCGCGATTCTGCACCCGTGAGCGGATAGCAGCTTTTTGCGGGGTGCAATAAGCGCTGCTGCGTGCGTGCCCTGACGAGTTAGTGAGCGTGCATAAGCTAGCGAACATAATTGAACAGATCTTGATGTTTAGCATATGCGAACTTTAGAGAGAACGAGCGAGCGACGGTGCGTTAAGGGAGGCAAGGGGTGCAGCCTTGTGGGGGAGGATGTTCAGCAAAACTTATTAAGAAGCGATGAATAAAAAGCAGAGAAGCGTGAGCGCCACGTTTTCAAGCAGGGGACCACTTGCGGCTGCACACCCGAATCAATTAATCCGCCGAGCTCAGACTAGAGAGAGAGTTGAATATTAAAGTGCGTTTATTTGTTTGCTGTCCCGCGGGGGCAAGTCGGCGTGCGGACGCTCGAATAATGCACTTGGCTGCAAATTGAATGCGGTTTCCAATCTGATGACGTTCAAGTTTGTAACAAATACGCGGGGATTTAAATTAGTATTTAAAAATTATACCAAATTTATCTTATTCCAAAATCTATAATATAATTATGCTGGAAAATTTGTTTCATTTTATAATGAAATTTAGTGAGAAAGAAGGTTAATTAAATTCTTAATGCGACAGCTTAAAAACTTGTAAAAAAATCAATAATGCAAAAATCACGTTTTTCAACGATTTACAAAATAATTATTTTTCTCAAAATTTTGAACGAAAAAACCCCACTTTATTTGTTTGAGTATTTAAATTATCTTTTAAAAGGTGTCTACGGACTTTGGCACTTGAATTATTTTACTTGACTTAAACAGCTTTAAATGCAGAATGCCTCCTCTAAATTTTAATTGATTAATGAATAAAATAAATATTCAGTTTCCTGAAATATATTTGCTATAAAAAACCGCATATTGAAAAATTGTAACCTCTCTTTTCTTATCATTTTATTAAACAAAGAATAGTAAATTATTCAAAATATTGATCCGTATAAAATCTATTACAAAAAATCACCTTTGTTTCGCACACACCTCGAGAGGGGTGCCAAAATTAGAGTTGCACACTCTTCCATGCTAGTTGGCAAGCAACAGCGAGTCCCATAGCGACCGGCAGAGTGTAAGATCATTAAATAATAATATAACGAACGCGTTTAACGATGAGCGAGTACCAGTGGAGCGTGTGCACGCGCGTCGCGCATTCAATAAAAAGCTCCGGAATATAATATTTTGAGCGAGCGAAGAGAGAGCAGGGTTGAATCACCTGCGCTTATGTACTTAAAGGATGACATTTCTGTTGTCTGGCGCGCCATTATGTTGCGCAGAGAACGGTGTGTACGTATGCAAGAGTGATTCCATTGTGGAACTGTTTTAATTAAACAGCTTTATTGAATAGAACGGCGGCGGCGGCGGAGGCAATCCTCCTCCCCTGTAGCTATCTTATGTTCTGCCAGAGCACAGGTACCTCTCGTTCTCCATATATATATTAACATGTAAAACAGCAGCGAGCGAGCGAGAGATGCGCTGTATGTATTAAGGTATGCATGAATAAAAGGTAGAGCCGAGCATTATTCGACGACAATGGGCCTCCGCTGCTGCCTCTGCCGCTGCGAGAGAGAGGAGCTCTTATTCTCATCATCACTACTCTCTGCTTCGCCGCCATTATTTTTCCAGCATTATTCCCTTCATCACTCCTTCCTTCCTCCATTGTGCTGTGCAAAAATACATTCGCGCACAATGAAACAGACTGAGTGAGAACAACACGCACTCAAAACGGACGCTCTCATTTTTCCTCTATATTTTTTCATTTCGCATTCTCTCCTGCGCTGCTCTCCGCCAACAACAAATAAAGCTCTTCTTTTCATATCACGTGTCAATGAATATACACAAATTTATCCTTCCCTAGAAAATTGTTCATGTGAATTTTTTTTTAATTTTTCATATTAAATTGTGCTGATTAACAAAAAAATAATTAATACAATAGTAGAGTTTATTATTCACTTCATATTTTGCTTTTTTTACTACCCACGATGCAACCTCAAACTCATTTGCTGGGTTAAAAGAGTTACATGAAAATTTTTTATTCCTTGGCTGGTTTACTAAAATAAAGTTTAAAGCAAAGAAAACGACAAACATGAGAGAGAATTATGCCTTCTTAATGCAATGTTTACCCTGTCGATGTTCCAATTTCAAGTACCACAGGTTATGTGACGCAGTTAGCATTTATGGATATATAAATATGGCTGTAAATCAGTTAATTGTTTGCATGCCTCCAAAATAATTAGGATAATTATTTTTTTTTTTTTTTATCAAAACTCGCGGCAAATTTGCAAACTTCATTATTTTTGTGTGATGAGAAATAAATTTGCTTAATAGAAGCACTTTAAAGATAAATTGCGTGTGTTTATGCAAATTTCATTGTTCAAGCTCTTCAAATTGTCGGGTTGTAATTTTTTTTATTAGCATCATTTTTTTATTATTTTCAAAGGTGAAGTAAGAGTCAATTATAGCTCAAAGTGCTGAAACATAATATATAATGAATTTGCTTGTTGCAGGGAATAGCATGCAGAGCGTGAAAAATATCGGAAAAATTCAGAATTATTGATTTCATTCATCTCTATATTTTATTCTTTTTCTCATATTCTGAATTTTTCATTTATGATTTTTGAATATTTGGATGATTTATCTCGTTAGAAAGACTTTTTTGCTACACCATCAACCAATAAACTAAATTTTCAACCATATCAAAAAAGTACGGATCTGATTCCGCGCTCTATCACGTTTATTTATTATAAAAAAAAAATATATATAACTTATTTAGAGTAATATTAACATTATTCATATAAAATACGATATAAAACAAAACTTTTAAGTGCGTCAGTTTTAACCACGCAGCTCTCTAAAACTCTCAAATGCGTCGAGCAAAAAAATCAAGTGGCGAGCGAAACTTTTGTATTCAAGAGCCAAAGCATTATTATAGTTGCGCCTAAACTCTTTTTCTGACCTTGCTTGCGCTTGAGCGGGCTTGAGAGAGGAGAGAAGCGAACACTAGAAAAACGAACAGCCTCTCGCAGCAATTCACTCTGCAGCTTGAAAGTATTATATTTTCTCAATGCGCGCATAACAATATTGGCCGTGTGCGGAATGAAATAAGAAAAGGCCAAAGGGGTTCGATAAAAGGCCCTTCGCGCGGGATAATATGAAAGGGTTAAATATCGCACAGGTCGCTTTTTATTCCAAAGTGCCTTTTTGTTAAGTGAGGACTTGCAGCTGTCATTTTTGTTTCGACTCGTGTTTATTTGTTTCGCTCACGCAATCATCATTATCAAAAAAGCGCTCTCAATCAAGGTGTGCACAAAAGGGAAATCAAAATCGCAATTTCGCCTTTTGTCGGATAACGAGTCGTGACTTGATTGAGGGGTTTCTTTTTCAATTCCGAGACTCTCTTATATATATTGAAACCCTTTCGATTCGATAAAGAAATTGTTTACCAAGAGAAACCAAATGTGCTTGTTATAATAATGAGAGGTATACCTGAGTGCATTCAAATGCAATTGGAACTCTTTCAACTGCTCTGACAAAGAAAGGCCGTCGGAGCAATGACACACCATCATCAAAGCATTTCTTTTGCTCCTTCTTCCACATTTCATCCTGGCCAGGACCTGCAGCTCTTTCACGTGATTAGGCTGCTTTGTGCAACTCTCGACGACTGCTTTTTATACACGGTAAGACTTCTGACAATGAGTAATTGATTTATTTATTTGCTGCAGCCTTTCATGGTCTGCAGTGTGGCGTGGCTCATTGTCCGCTCAGAGCATGTGCATTTTTTATTTTATATCCTACGAGGGGAGGGAATGGTGAAAATAAATAATAATGCGAATAACTTTTCGAGAGTTCTCTGCTGCTCCTGCGTTAAAAATGAAATGTGTACAAAAACATCAAGCACAACTTTGTGGTGCTCTCTTTTAGCGACTGACTGAGAAAACGCTCGAGTAACTCGAATGAAAGAAGGCAGCTCGCGATTATATATTTCAAGTCTTTCGGGGGCGCAGTCAAAAGGCGGAGAGTGTAGCAGCGAGCGGCGCATTTTGTCACTAATTAGTGAGTGCGTCGGATTTTTTGATTCCCCTTGACTTTATTTCCCATTCAGAGGAGGCTTAAACTTATATGCCAGGCAAACTCGAGAGGCCACAACGCGCGCTTTTATACTTTTTTTTCCCATCAAAAGAACTTTTGGATTCGCGCAGAACTCTTTTATATATGGTTTTACAGCCAGTTATTCAAATTCAATTTACATGAAACTTTATTCATTCATCAAAAGGACTAAGACCTCAAAAATATGGTGCTGTATTCAAAGAAAGTTAAAAAGGCTGTTATTTTGTATCAAAAAGGGTACAAGTATGTTTGCAATTAAATTGGTGAAGAATTATTTGTTTCGATAACACTTTTATTGTCATCATAATTATTATAATCGGAGAGATTTACAGGACATTCAATATCAAAACAGACATTTTTGTTGTGTGTGCAATGCATATATCAATTCAGTATAGATCAACTTTTTACAACGAACTTTGGAGTTGATTCCTTTGCTTTATTAATTTGTCGATCTAAAATAATAGCACTAAATTAAGTAATAGAATATAAAATTAAATCAATACAACGTTTTCATTTTTATTTTTCAATAATTTGTACAACTTAAAAAAGGAACTTGGTTTAAATCAAAGCAAAAATGCGAGCAAAAATAAAAACACGCGCGCACATTTTCGCACAAGTCGGCTTATAATCAACGTCCTAAGTAAGAATTGAATTAACAAAGAACATGGCCAAAGGATTCGCTCAGTACATCACGGGCACAGACCTTCTGAGGACGTCCTCGCTGCTAGGGTAGGCAGCCGGAGACGGTTCTCGGTCGTCGCCCAAACTCTTGGGCGAGTGGAACGCCGTCAGTCCCTGCTGGGGCGCCTTGTCCCCGAAGGACAACCCTGACGGGGTCATGCCAGGGTACATGGACGAGTAGAAGGAGCTGACCAAGGAGGCGGCCGCGGCCGAGGAGGCGGCCATCTTGGCGGCCGTGTCACCAGCGGGCATGCCGTGGGTCGGCGAAGGTCCCTTTTCGTAGCTGGCAGGGGAGGCCAGGTAAGGGTTGGTGTGGTAGGGGAGACCCTTGGAGTGGTAGAGCGACTCGAACTGAGGGGAGGCGGCGAAGTAGGGGAGTGGGAAGGAGGCGTAGGGCGGCATGTTGGGGGCGGCGGGGGCGCCCTGAGGGGAATGGCACGCGTTCTTGGGGGCCTTGTGGGTCGAGCCGGGGGCCTTGGGCTTCCGGCGGGGGCGGTACTTGTAGTCAGGGTACTCCTTCATGTGCAGGGCGCGCAGCCGTTTGGCCTCGTCGATGAACGGCCGCTTTTCGTTTTCTCGAAGAAGTTTCCACTCGGCGCCCAGCCGCTTGCTGATCTCCGAGTTGTGCATTTTGGGGTTGTCCAGCGCGATTTTGCGGCGCTGGATGCGCGACCAGACCATGAAGGCGTTCATCGGCCGCTTGATGTGGTTGCTGACCGCCGACATGGGCGCTCCGAGGACGCCCGACGGGGGCGCCGTGGCCGCCTCCATGGAGGGAGCGTTGCTGAAGTGGTGCGCCAGAAGCGAATTGGCGGACAACATGCCGTAATTCGAGATGGCAGTCATAGCTGAAACAAAAACGAAAAAATATTTAGTTTTTTTTTTCAAAATAGGTGAATTAATTTTATTAAGAAAAAAAAATTATATTAAAAAATTATCTTGTATTGTATTGAAGGTAATAAAAAATACTTAAAATATATTCCCTGGTTATTACAAAAAAAAATATCTGCTTTTGAAAGAAGGAAATTAACCGATTATGACAAATACAAATTTAAATCTTTTAATTTTAATTTGATAAAAAATGAATTATTCAAGTACTTTTATTTGGTTAAATATGTTATTGAAGTTGTAAATTTTACATTTTAATCATTTAAAATATTATCCTATCCTTTATTAATGAGGGTGAACCAAAAGCCTAACCGAATTTTACCCACAATGCAATTTGATTAGCAGAATAATTTAGCCTGCCCTCAATGTTTGCAAAAAGTTAAGAGTGACAAAATAAATTTTTTGTTATTTTTTGAACATCAGAAGAAATATGCCGGATGAAGAAAGAATTATGTTGAAGAAAAAAATTATGCATCTTTCCCCCCCATGAAACATTATTTAAAATTATATAAAGAAATTTTTATAAGCAATAAATTCGTGATTTATGTTTAATTGTTTAATTTTGAGACCATCTCAAAACCAGTCCAACTAAAACCATCTGCAAATCCAATTAAAACGTCTCATTTAACACCGCGGCTCGGATGTTGAACGATTTTGCGCGTCAATAAGCAAAGGGTCGCGTCTCTTTGAGAGTAACAACAAACAATAAAATTGAATCGTGCGGCCGCACGCAATTTGAATAATCAAACACGGACCGCTGCTTCGGAGTGCCGAAGAAATAAAAGGGATTCACGCTGCTCTTCCGTCTCTCTTGTTGACGCTAATTTATTTTGTATGTTGCATTCGATTATTAATAATGGCAGCGAACAAATTATTCATACAGCAAGCAAGCAAGGGGCCCAACGAGCACATTATTTAATCTGGCAGCTTGAAGCTTTTGCCCATGGCTGCACGCTCAATTTATCATGCCGCTATTTACGAGACAATATTTTGCCGCTCGCACACAAGCGCGCGGGGGAAAGAAAAAGAGCCAAACATTAGCTCTCAGCATCATTGTTACAGATGAGGATAATAAAAACGCGATGATATCAAAGTAGGGGGAGGCTCTACATGGTACATATGCTCTTCTCCTATTATCATCAATTATCATCCCCCTCCCACATGCAAGCAATCGCGGCATTCATTTCATTATTCCCGGCGCGTTGATGATTAAAAATCGCACAAGAGCGTTTTGTGTGTTTAATAAAATCGTCCCCCGCTTTCATTAATTTCGCTGAGTGCTTTGTGTGTGTTGGCGCATTTTAAATCATCACACTCTCGAGATGATTATACGCGAGCCGAGTGTGGAAGAAGAGGAGTTTAGCGGCGAGTGCTGACCTCAAGTGCGTTCCACTTCAAAGTAAATTGTTCTGGACGTTTTTCGCTTTGATTTAATTTCGAACTCGCCATGCAAAGGACAAATAGCGGTGAGAGTCCAACAATCTTCCCAATTGACCGAAAAATAAATAATAAAAAGAAAAAATCAAAAGAAAAATTAACAAAAGCATCACTTGGTTTTTGGCTGCTATTAAATTAAAAAAAAAGTAGATTTTATAACTGCAATAAAGAACAAAATAGTGAAATAATGTTAAAATAAATATTGTTATAATAAAGGGAATTTAATAAAAAAAATAAACATATGGAAAGCATGAATATTCAATCAATTGGTTCACGTTAACAAATATTCTGGAAATAACTAGACAAAACTCAATCCTATAGCCGGAGCAAAGATTCAAATTAGATTCATTTTTCCCAATAATCTCAATTTCCCATCTCATGCATGTTTCAAAAGAAATTTTAAAATTCAAATGACATAAATGAAATTGTTTAAGTTTCAGAAACTAAAGGGTGGAAACTGATCAGTATTTTGTTTTTATTTTTATTCATCACAGTCGATAAACAATATTATGAAATTAAAGAAAAAAAGAGAAGACCAGGTTATCAATTGATAAAATAAAATAAAATTCAAGAAAATAAATAAGTTATAAAACTACTCCAACTAGTGAAAGCTCGTGAAATTAAAAATTAGGTTTTTTGCTTCAGATTTAAATTAAGCTAAAATCCCTATAATCAATTAGTTTGTAATTATTTTTGCCCACTTAACTTTTGTTTATGTTTAAATACAAAATCTCCTTGAGCCCTAGAGAAGAAAATAACGCATAAACTTTTCCCTTAAATTTAAATCAAATCGAAAGAATATTCTCGACTGTTTCTAAAACTCGACAATTTGGACTTATCCATTTTTATAAGGATCAAAAATTTAGCAGATAACTTAATAAAGAGCTTGCCATGCTAAATTTGATAAAATGAACAGCAAAAATTCAGATTTCAGTTCCATATTTAAGTTGCCAACCGAAACTTAAGCTCCAATTGGATTTAACTTGTGTCAATATGAGAAAAAAATTAAAACAATGAAAGTTCATTCACCTCTCAGTCAGTGGTTGAGTGTCGGGCTGGTGGAAGAAGAGGGCAAGAGCGTCTCTCGCATGCACAGGTCGAAGTTCGGGGGTCGCAGCAGTGACGAAGTTCCGCACCTGAACACAATCTAACCAGGAATGAGACCTTCCACAATATTGGGGTTCTCGCTCGCACCGAGCGGGGCGAGGGGGCGTGGCCGCGCGGCCACCAATCGAGCCGAGGCCACGCCCCCCGAGCTGCCAAGGTGCACTCCTTTGTCATCGGCGTGTTTGTGCGCTTTTGTGTGCCTCTCTCGCGCACACAATCGCACTTTGCCAAGAGAATGCTTACTTCTGTATTCTATCTCGCAGCGTGCAATTTTATCATTGCAAAATCACTTTGTTCAAATGGCGTTGCTACTTTTTTTGCTCATTTGCTGATTAACTGTATACGAAAGAAATTTACATACAAAGAGCCTCAAAGAAAAAATATTAGAAATTAATTCATCGTCAATTCCGTTGAATATCTGCGGAAGAGATCAATTTTTATCAGTGTTATTTGTAATGGAATTTTGAATTTTTTGTGGAGTAGAGAGCAAGTGCAGGCACAATTTAATTAAATATTTCAGAATCTCGATGGTGATTTTTAAGTTCCTCTGATTTTCTTGAAAATTTACATTTTATTTGGAATATATGTAGAAATTAATACCAAGGCTGGAATTATTCTACTTGAATTTAAAATTGAAACTACGCTGCTCTGCGGTTTCACCAAATTCCAACAAAATTCCATTGAATGGAATTCATTTTTTTTCATGTGAAAATGTTGTTTTGCGAAAAGTCTTACTTCCTTCAATTTTTTAATTTAAATTTATCATGCATCAGAAAAGCTACATCTGAGCTATAGCAATAAAGCTAATTTTCTTCTCTTTGCCAAAAATTTAAATCTTAAGTCAAACCCTAAACTTGACATTTTATATACATTAAAAAACTCAACTCTTCAATAATAATAGATTCCGAAAAATTCAATGTTTTTATTTTTTAATCTACAAGTTAGACTATATTTTTTCTTTCTTGTAAATTTTGTGCATTAATTTTAAGCCAACAAATTATGGCTGCGGTTTGTGACTGAAAAGCAAGTAGAAAAAATTAAATAAGTCTTAATTACCCAGTTTGAGGAAAAACCGAGCATCAATTAAACAACACTTAAAATAAATTGACCTTTACACATTTTAGCGATCAAAATATTTTTGCTCCCATCTTTTTTCGGCGAGTTCTTCATTCTTTTATTTAATTTTGGAAAAGAGAAATTTCTCTAATGAATTAAAAATTCAAAAGCTTTATTTTATCCAATTAAATTTTGACTAAACTTTTATATTGCAAGAAAATTATTTACAATTTGATGCAGGCCGGACGTTCAAAAAAATGTTGATGGGTATAAAACCCAGTTGGTGTGAAGCAAAAGCTTTTTTCAATTAAAATTCTTTATACTTTTTCACTTGACAGAATGTAATATTTATTGCTTTTCAATGTTCCTTTAATCCTCTTTTACACCCAATTGGTCACTCTGCTATTCGAAATGCCTGGAAGGAAGTGTATAAATCGCTCAATTTTCACGCCTGAACTGCTGCTTCAGGCTGGCACATTAAACAAATAAAGGATTGAAAAGAGAGGCTGAAACGCGCGAGATCGCCTCCTGGGGAGCGCTTGAATGGAATGCCCCATGCTAATGTCCAGCTCTTCTCTCCATTTCCTGCTTTTCTTAATGCTGCTGGGCAATCAAACACATACTGAGAGAGGGACAGAATGCGTTGGGGCAGGAAGAGGAACCAACAAAGGAAGCATAAAACGCATCTTTCTTCTTTCTGATTGAAATGAGCCCCCTTTGGCACTACAATATAATGTGCTGCTGCTGCTGCTGTCACACCCTTGACCTGGAGCGAATATTTTCTCGCTCGCTCCCCCAAGTGTTTGTGCAGAGATGTATATTTGCTGCGGCCAATATGCGCCAGATTAATCTTTATATTCTTTACACTCGCTGCAGTCAATCGGCGCGCAATTTCTCACGTTGGGGGGCTGAAAAGAAATGATATTCCGCTCTTGCTCCGCAAAAAGAGTTACTTGAGCAATAACGTCTTGCTATTCTTATCAATTCCAAATATTGAAATTATTCTTAAATATTTTATGCAAAAATTTAACGATTTGTAATTAAGTCACGATGCTTGAATTTAAATTATGAATTTTCCTCAATGCATGGTTTTAATTAAGTTATTTATATTTTTTTGGATCATGAAGAGTGATATAGAGCCATATTATGAAAGTTTTGGTTTTTCTATACGAATAAAAAAACCCACCAAGGAATTAAAAAATTTAAACATAATAATTAGATAATCTTTAATATACATAACCTTGTTTTGAAATTACTTTAAAATGTTCTTTTATTGATGAAAAATTTCTTTTTAAATTCCTTTGTATTTTCTGTTCTTATTTTTAAGGTCTTTGCACGCCTTTGGCGTTTTATCAACAATAAATCAATCAATTAATGAAAAATATTATATAAATTTCAAACTATTCAAATTATAGTTCATCAGCTGCAATACGAGACACGAGACTTGATAAAAAAAAGCGGTCCTATTAACTAGTAGCAAAAAATCATAACTTTGTTATATTATAAATTAATTTAAATTATGTCAATATATGACATTGGCATAATTTAATTAAACACATTAAATTATTTTTTAATGTGAGCATCACACTAAATTTGGTGACAGGAATTAATACATAGCATTTTATCTTGTTTGAATACATTTTAGCATGGAATCGGTGGAAAGGTTTTATTTTGTGCTGGAATTCAATAACCTGCAGCCAAGCAAGAGACATCTTTGTTGATCCGTGCAACAATCTTGCAGAACATGAAACTTTCTAAAACGCGCATCACAAGGTTGACCTTATAGCTCAAAATATCGTTCAGCGTTAAATTTCAATTTTGACCGCATGACATTTTTATTTATTACAAGGATAACGAATTGCTGAATTAGAAAACATCTAATTTTTTCTAAAACACGGACAGTAATTTTATTTCGCTCTAATCCAAATTGATAAAACTTTTTAAGTAATTTGTTTTGCGGAATACAAAGTTGAATAACTGCGATATTCTGCTGAATTTATATTTAAGTGCTTAAAATGGAATTTTTTTTCCACAAACTTCCCCATACAATAATACAAAAAACAGAGAAAATAAAGAAATAATGCCACACAAGCTATTCTCTTTAATTTCTATTCTTTGGTGTTTAATAATTTGATGGACTCGTCCGGCTTTTGTGTTCGATTACAGTTTTTTGTTATTATTGTATTATTTTGTCATGTGCGCGCGGCAAAAGAACGAACAAGCCGAATTTTCGCACTTTTATTCTCGCCGCCAAAATGGAAACAAAAAAGCATTTTGGCGATTGTTTCCAAATTTGAATGGTGCGCTGCTGGTGCGCGCAATGCTTTTTTATTTACACGCAGAGAGGCCTGGGCTTTTTTCTGCGTGTGTCCCTCTAAAGTGACGTCACAATGCTTATGAAAAAAGGTCCTTTTGTTTCGCATTGTTGGAACACATCTCTCCCTTCGGCCATTGTCTGCGTTTTAGCTTGTCATTTCTCTTAATGGCTTTTTCCATTCTTTTCTTTCTATTTTTGAAAAACAAGCTCTCTGTGCATGCACATGAATGCACCCTCGTCAGCTATTCATTCTCCCCCCATCCCTGCCGGTTTTCTCGGCTCTTTCTCTCTCGCGGGAATTTCATTTTTGCTGAATAACTAACAAACACCAGCAGCGGCGGCAAAACCATTGAGCAGGAAATTAAAAAATCACGTGCGTGTGTTCGTAAGCGACTTAATTACATCACTCGCGTGGCTAATTCGACGTAATGCGGCGCAAAACTCCCAAAAAACACCTCCGCCTGCGTCTGCTCAACAGAGATCGACGCGGTTGTTTGTTACTTTTAAGTCGGCCGGGGGATGTGCGGGTGGACGGACGATCTGCTGGCTGAGTTGGCAGTTCTTATTGTAGCAAGTATATAAATGGGTTTATTGGATTTGCTTCTGGAATTACCAAAAGCCCCGAAAAAAAAAGCTCAGGGTTGATTGGCATATGTATTGTGGTAGACCATAACGGGCCATAAAAAATACAAACTCGATCTGCAGTTTTTTTCTCTCCGAAAGTGTGATGTTGTTTTATATTAAGTTATAATTTTTGAAAACTGCTGATTATTTAAATGGAAGTTTCCTTGAATCTCCAAAACATCCAAGATGTAAAATCATGTAAAATGTTGAATGAAACTTTTAATATGATTGAAATTTGATTTGTCTGTATAAAATTTAAAAGAGCTTTTACAGACTTAATTGATATTGAATGTAATTAGGTGTAATGTAATTTATATAATTGATATGTCTTAATGGCTTTTATTTAGAAATATGATTTGAATAAAAAATTGTAATCTTAAATATTATTAAAAAAAAATCAATTTAAATATTTATTGAATGGAGAATAAAGATCAAAATAGATAAATAAATAGTTTTAGGATTACCCAATTTAATGAAAAAATTTGTTTTTAGACAGTTCTCTGATATATTAATTGATATCATTGCAATTTCTATTTATATAAAAATTTTAAATGTTCCATATTGATAAAGGAAAGAGTCTAATCTAAATTTGATGAAGTTTTCAACTTCAATATTTTTTTATTTTAAAGTTTAAATATGAATAAGAAAAAAGTGCTTTTACATTAAGTTGTATCAAATTAAATAAATTTTATATTTTTGATCAGCGATTTCCTTTTGCTCGTCCGACTTTCTTATTTTGTATTTGTATATTTTGAAAGAGACTGATTGAAAGCAGTGAAAAGTTTTGTGTCGCACTTTTGTCTCATTTCTCAGAAGTCATTTATAATATGAGCAGTCAGCAGATTAGCGAATTAGGGTGGCCAAGTGGCAAAACACTCCATTAGTGCTCGGCTGGCTTGTTTCGCAAAATGCTCGTTTGGCTCATTTCGCATGCACGGAGAAGGATAAAAAGCAGGAAACTCGTGTCGTGCGTCATTCCCTCGTCGCGAACTCGCGACGGGAGACGCCAAGAGAGGTTTTCAATTAAAATATACACGCACGCAGCTATATAGAGAGGCGCGCGCG